GGTAAAAGCTGATGTGTTCGGAGTGACGTGTCATGTGGAACCTGAGCTTAGAAAACAGTTCCAGTTGACCCACACTTTGATAAAAGTAAAAGTAGTAGTAACATACTAATCTTACTTTCCTCCTTTCCTTGTTCTTAATTTGCCAAAACTTAAGCTAAAAGTGCCAGTAAAATTGTTTGGTTGTTAACATCAGAACTGAAGTTTTACTGTTCTATTTAAGTAATCTGAGTTGATGTGAATTGAAATTCGGATGCGGGTTTTATCTCATTTAACTCTGACGCTTGTTATAGGAATGACCACAATCAAGTGTAACTTATGATCTGTTTAATTTGTGTAAATAAATGATTGCATAGTCTTTTATGAATCAACTTGAGCTCGTCTGAACGTTCACTTATTGTGTCACTTTTCACTTCGCATAGTCAAGAGTAATGAGAAATACCTTGGTAAAAGTTTCCTGATAACCTTGTGTATGAGAGATGTGGGAAAAGCTTAATTCACTTTAAGCTCACTCCTACAACAGTTACGTCCAAACCTAGGGAATAAACTACAATTTGTTTGGAACTAGGATTATTTTTGTGTTTTTCCTACAAGCTACAAAGGAAAAAAACAGAAAAAACACTCTGCTGTCTGTAATTTATTACCTCAACCAAGGGAGGAGGTAATGTTTTCTGTCTGTCTCTCTGTCTGTCTGTGGACAAAATTAGTTAAAAACTTGTGGACAGATTGTCATGAAATTTTTACCACATGTGGTTACTGGCCAAAGGAACACACCATTAAATTTTGGTGATGATCCGGATCACGAAGCGGATATAGGAATTTTTCTTTTAATTCGAGCGAATCAGCCAGGCTACGCAAAGTGTCATTACGTCAGACACATGCCTGTAGGAAACAGGAAGTACAAGTCACAAACTCACTGGGACTACACCTCCCAGGATGTCTACTATCAGGAAAGTTGTGATTATTCTGTTATCAAATAGTATTGGTGATGTTACATGCTGTCTGGAGACGTAGAAAAAGAAATGTGATTCTCTTCACGTTACGGGAATAACTGAAGACACCGACAGCGGGAGGAGGGTCCTGTTGCAGCCGAGCCAAACCTGGACTGTCCGGAATCAACCATGTGAGGTACCCCCTCCACATAACAACTTTATTGTGTGATTGGTCAGAAGTTCGTGGGAGTGTTTGTAATGAAAGCGCTCAGATGTTGTATTTTGCTTCAACCACTCGCTTCAAAAAAAAAGAAAAAGAAAAAGAAAAAAAAGGCGACTCACTTCCACAACGATTGTACCAGGAAGCAGTAGTTTATAAAAAGAGTCAAACCATGAAAAAACTCATAAAAGGGGATAAAACAGACGTTTTACACAGTGGACTCTGACTGATAAAAACTTAGCAGCTTAATATGGGAACAGTTTGAGGATGAATTATGTCGAGTGATGAGTCTGACTTTTTTTTTTCGCATTGAACTCCACCGGGAAGAAATCCCGTGCATACTGCCTGCTTGAATGTTCACTACATAAGAACTTATTCAGCAAATGTGTTTCTTTCTCTGCTTGTGCACATTAAAGGGATCCATGATTAGTTGTAATATTGGACTTTATTTAATAAACATTTATTTTAACTGTAAAATAAAGACTGTAAAAATACTTTAGGCTGTTTAGTTTTTATAATTTTTTTAACTAAAAGGTTAAAAATATATTTTAACATGGACGGGGC